GTAAATCTGGATCGAAGGGGGGGGTTTAGCATATATATATATAGTGTGTATAGCCAGAAAACGATGAGAAAACTATTAGCAAGTAGCTGCTTGGTAGGAATTCAGTCAATGGTGCTGGACGACTGCGCCAGTAGCCCTGACAGCACCTTGACCCTCGACAGCCAAAACCATGAAGACTGCGAAGCCTAAGTTCTTAAGTTAAGATCCCCCGAGGACACCCATGAAAGGCATTAGATTATCCTGATTCTGCGCAGGTGGCCGACTTCGCCCGCGGCAATTGCGACCAAACTGTTGCCGAAGAAGGCGATGGAAAAGGAGCCGCTGAGCCTGAGCACAAGGGCTGATGTAAGAAGTTGATGGGGCTTAGGGCCAAGCGGGTTTCCACACGGGCGTCGTGCCGCACTGCACGGCAATGTCACGGCAACGTCCCAGGATCCAAGTCAAAGCCAAGCACACAAGGCTCTACAGCCTGCACTCCCTCAAAGAGGCAACAACACCAAGATTGGTCTATGGGGAGTTTCAGTCAGCTCTGCTTGCCGAATAGTTTGACTTGGGGTAAGGAAGGAAAGTTTGCACGGACTATTGAGTCATGCAATGTGGCAACTTGCCAGGAGTTCTTGGATTTTGGGTACAATTCTGGGAGGCTGGGGCTCTTGAATTGGAATTAACGGCTCAGGGGTCTGCAGTGTTGTAGCTTAATTACTAGGGCGTTGAACCATTTTCAAGCAGGCGGACTCAGAGCTTGCGCATCTATGTTTTTATTAGCTCTTAGGGGCAGCATAGGCTACCGACCACCAGCCAGTCCAAAAAAAGAACCTGCCGATGGGACTGCTTAACGATCAACCATGCCAATAAGGTGTCAGGAATGCACTGGTAATAGCAAATAACTGTATAATGCTTTGCTTTTTAGGTGACAAACCTATCAAGCTCCAGCCTTATAAATACTCATGCGCAGAATATGAGCTTTAGCACTCCAAAAAGAGATCTCCAAGTTTCAGCAATTCCCATTTGCACACATGCTTTTCCCTGCCTGGACAACAGCTTACGGTCAGGGCTCCTGATGGAGAGTTGAATTTCGAATCCCCTATGTAATTGTAAATCTCCCGAGTCCATTCTTGCATTGGATGTAGGTACTCAGGGCCAGACAGACGGCCATAGATTTTCAGGACAGTCATTATCTGTAATGGAGGTTTGACGGCCTGTCACATCTCTCTCCCAAGTCCACTCTCGACAAAGGCTGATGCCAAAAGCGCCATCTAAGTTTCCAAGAGTAGTAGGAGCGTTCGTTAGGAAGTGCGGTGGTCAGAGCATCACAACGAATACTACGGAGCCCTAGATCCATCATCATCATCATCATCGTCGTCGTCGTCGTCGTCGTCGTCATCCATCTGTTGCACCCCTTGTTTGGTTGAAATGCTGAACTTGTTGATGATGGGGAGTGACGTTGTTTGAAGCTAGCCTGCGCAAAAAAAGGCTCCCCCAGAGATCCTGAAGAAAAAGCTTGCGCGGTTCACATGAGCTATAAACTCCTAATATCCTCTTTAATAAGCCCTGAAGTAGTCCCCTAGATAATTCCCTATACAACCCCCTTTAAGGAGTTTGGACTACAGCTCACATGTTGCCTAAACTGTGTCGAGGGTCTGCTCTGAGCTGTAGCCTCGAGCATTGTGCTCAGACACCAACCAAGAATCAAACCTCATGGCCAGCTTGAGTAGGGTTTAGGGTTCAGGGTTCAGGGATAAGAGCTGGGTTTGGCCCCCACCCACTAACAGTGACCACAAGAGGTAATGGTAATTATATCAAAGTAGTATGCCACTATTAGTGGGTGGGGGCCCAACCGAAGATAAGAGGGCTTTGAGGGCCCCCTACAAGTCGTATGATGGCCATAGGATTCTAATATAGAGGGGGGCGTTGGTTTGTTTTGCCGGTGCTTCATCGGAGATCCAGGACTTAGAGCTTTGGGATTGAGCGCCAGGCCATAGGGAATTTCTCAATTTCTCGCGGGTTTCCCGAGGGATTTCAACAACCCTTCAACCTTCACGTTGATACCGCCATATGGGCATGTGTCAACATCATTGCTCTTGTCAACCTTCCACACATTGTCAACGCCTTCAACATTTCAACATTTCGTCAGGGCCACCAAAACCAACCTACGTGCTCGTTGACTTCTGGGCTTATGATTTTGGGATGATGTTGGGTTCGCTGCGTCAGGGTTTAAGACTTCAGGGGTAAGGGGTCTAGGCCGTGAAATGGTCTCGGTTTTCATCCTTTAAGTAGGGCAGGCCAGATTTCTAAATGAAGCATCCCTTGTTGTGAGCCCTTGTCTCCCAATTGAGGGGACCCCAATATATACTACAATCCTTATTATGGGGACCCCACAAAGGTACCACTAATTTTGGGAAACCCTGATCACCCTTGACCCTAAACCCTTAACCCCACAGCCTAAAACCTAGACCCTATGAAATCCCTGTTTCTAGGAACCCTGATATGGATAGCCCTCTCGGAGCCCAAAGATGTTTCGAAAGCTGCAATTCGCAACCTAAAGCTCTCGCACAAAGCAACTCCCAGGGCTGCTGAATTTCACTTATAGGGTTTAGGTGTAGGGTTTAGGGTTTAGGGATAAAGGATTATTTAGGGTTTAGGGCTTAGGGATAAGGGATTATTTCGGGTTTAGGGCTTAGGGATTAGGGATTATTTAGGGTTTAGGGATAAGGGATTACATAGGGTTGAGGGTTTAGGGCTTAGGGTTCCCGATGCCCATCTTGAAGAGAACAACGCAAGGAGAATTGCAAAATCATCTGCGAAGAGTACTGCAAAGCCTATAGACGCCACATACTCCAATGCCGAAGACCGGAAGCTGAAGATGAGCCGTCTTGATGACTTGGACTTGGCCCAAAGCATATTCTATTATACTTTCTGCCTAGGCGAAGCCAAAGCGTCCATGTTGTCAAACATGGGGTAAAAGTAAGGATAACCGTGTAAGTAAATATGTATATATAGAAAGACAGATATGTACCCATATGTTCTATTGTTTGAACGGTTCAGAGACGTGGAAACTGTGAGCGGCTTCTCAGCTGCCTACAGCAAGCTAGGGTTTACGGCTTAAGGCTTAGAGTTTAGGGCTTTGGGTTCTCAGCATTGATCCTTTTCCAAAGCTGCATTTCAGCCAGTTCTGAAGAAGGTGGCCATGGCAGGCTACCCGTTGAAATAAATCTGCTTCTTCGCGATCCCTTTGTAGCACCAAGGTAAGGACTGCATATTCCATTTTGCTAGATGTACCTGTAGACCCGAACATGTACAACGATACTGGAGTTACCTTGAAATGTCTGCAGGAAGCTGCCTACTGTTGATGGAGGACATCTTCCAGTCCTAGAAGATACAGTAGCTCAGCGCGTTTACGCGTCCTGGCTGGTGCAATGATTTCCTCTGTCAACAGTCAGTGACCTACTGATTCTTAATAAGGAATGAAGGAATAATCCCTACGTAACATGTTCCCTTATCCCTTACTAACCCTAAACCCTATATTCCCTTCTTCCCTACCAAGAACCAGTACGGTACGGTCCAGGGCCAACTTTAGGCTGCGCGCGCGAAGCGTGCGGAAAGGAGCTCATAGGCGCGCTTCACCTGCCGGAACTTCTCCGAGGCTTCTTGGCTCCCCTGGTTCTTGTCCTCAGTGGGTTGCTGTTAAGAAACTTAAAATCAGCTACCATAATGTGAGCACATAGTTTATTTGGGTATATAGTAAATCATAGGGTACCTTTTTATACTGACTCAGTTAAAGTCAGTATAATAGCAGCCCAGCTTACTGCTTCAGCCCTTGGGGCTCGAATTGTGGGCGCCCTTTATAACACGGCCTCCAATTTAATTCTAATGGGTAGGGCATCCACATGGGGTCATAATGACTCCCATAACCCTCCACGTATTCCCTAAACCCTAAACCCTAAAGCCGTAAACCCCCCATGTAAAGCATAGAAAGTTTACCAAACAAATGTCCAGGACTCAGGATGGTACTGCAGGGCCAGCTTGCGGTAAGCAGCACGTACATCGTCCACAGTGGCCCCAGCCTGGAGGCCAAGCGTCGCGAAGTGCTCTGAAAGCCCGTGCTCCCAGATTCGCAGCTCGCCCCGGCGAGGGGGGGCCTTGGGAGGCGCAGGTGCCTTTGGGCCCGCGGCCGCATAGCCCATGTAGCTGGCATCTGTAAACTCCGTGAACTCCCCGGCGCTCTCAACGAAGAGGCGGCTTCGTATCTGAGGCCCGCAAGCGAAGATGTTGGGCGCGAAGGTGGGCGCGCGCATGGGCGGCTTGCTCTTCTTGGGCTGCTCTGGCTCCGTCGATTCAGCCTGCCCACACTGTGACTCATGTTTGCTTTCGAGCCCTGAGCTCCAGGTGCCGAAGCCCATGGTAGTGGCAAACGGCGCTTCCCAGAGATCCTTCGGGTCTCGGGCTCGTGCCTCTGCTGCGACGAGGATCTTGACCAGATTGCTGTGGCCTTCACTGGTGGCAAAGTCCAAGGCTGTGGACCCTGTGTCAGTGGCCTTGGCCACATCCGCCTTAAAGTCCAGGAGCAGCTGGGCAACAGCCTTACAGCCGCAGCATGCAGCTTCCATGAGGGGAGTCTCCTTGTTGAGGAGATCCGTTGTATTAGGATCGGCTCGCCCCTTCAGCAGGCAGGATATAAGCTTCAGGGCTTCTGGCCCAGACTTGTCCAACGCCTGCCGAACGGCTAAGACCAAAGCAGTCTCGCCAAGCATATTCTTAGCCTCCAGATCTGCGCTGGAATACTGGAGGTATGAAAGGACTGTAGCCCCCTCTTCATTGGAAGGCATGTTGGCGGCGAGGTGCAGCACAGTGTTCCCATCTGCATCCCTGCGCTGCAGAAGATCTCTCCGAACTCCTGGTGTAACTTGCAGAATCTCTTGAACTCGGAAGTCGTTGCCTGCCCGGACTTCCCGGACAAGTGCTACATGCGCACGTGCTAAGACCTCTTCATCCAGCTGTAACTCATACTCCTGCTTGGGCGGCTCGGACCCATCCTTGCTTGCAGAATCCGCCCTTCCAAGGAAAGGGATGAACATCCGGCTGTGCTGCACTGGCTTCACTGGCCCCTCTTCCTCTGGAACAGCAGGACGTAACAGGCGATGCATGTCTCGCCCGCGGAGGGATCCAGATGGAAGCTGCTTCCCCTTCGCATCGCCCACCTCATGCTGCAAGTTCAGGAAGCTCACAACCTGGGGAATCTGCGCATGCGACATGGCTATGATCCGCCGCCACAGCAGTGGCCCATGGCTTTGCACGAGCAATAGCCCAGAATTCTTATGGCATCAGGAATGAGTGGAGGTCGGTGTCCCGTTCTCTGCTAGTCACATACGTGGCGACGCTTGTTTGAGTTGCTACATCTATGCCTTGGACGTAGACCTTGAATATACATCAGCTTCTCCAATACGTCCCCTATCAACTTCAGTGTGTTGCATCGAGCACGACATGTCTGAAGTCTTTACAGATTCTTCACAGCTACTCCTCCGCAGAAGTGGCACCGACACATGCTTGTGTTGAGCTGAATTGCATGCCTCAATAGATAGGGGTGGTTTGGGATGTTGGTGGGGTCCTCACTATAAGGAATCTTGCAGGCTCTCCTAAAACTCCAACTTTTATTCGTTCTCCATATTCCCCACTGAGGTAATATCCCTAACCCCTCGACCTGAAATCATATTGTGGTAGTTTCCATTTGCTTTCTTCCTCATACCCCCATATTTCCCCTTGAGGAAGAAAGTTAGATATGTATATGTACATATAGATATACATATGTCCTTTGTATCTAATCCAACGGGAGTTGACAGGAAAACACAGGGTGTAGGGGTTCAGGGCTTAGGGGTTAGACATTTAGAGGTTTTAGGGTTTCAGGGTCTCGGGTTTAGGGCTTAGGGTCTTTAACTACCTTGCCTATAAAGGAAGTAAAATGGGAAACCCAAAATACGAATACCAGGATTCTGGTAGGTCTGTTCCCGGTATGTTTTTACTGTATTCTTGCCATTCCCTGTTCTGGGGTTCTCATTAGACTAGAGTCCTTCCCGACCGCCGGTATTAAAAAAAACAAGTCCCCAATACATCATAATGCTTTGTGAGGGAATCATTGTTGGGTTATTCGGGAAGGGCTTAGCTAGGAAGATCCTAGAGAGCTTCAACTTCATGATGGTGACTGCCACAATTCTGAACATTTCAGATGGTGACGGCCTGTGTTTTGTTGAAGGTTCCCTGAAGCCTGCACAGAGGTTGCAGCATGAAAGGTTCTCGGCAAGTGGACGGGCGTGGGCGCAAAGTCGGGGTAGACAGTGTGCCTGTGTCAAGGTCTGCACGTGAACCCCCGGACCATGCATCTAGCCTCTTCATGCTGTCCCTGTAGTCCCCATTAAGTAAAAAGAATGTGGCTTTGGGTATAGTATACTAAGACCCCCTTATACCCCATATTCTATCTACTTAAGGGGGACTATAACCCTAACTGCACTTCATAATCATAGCCAAGTCACACGCTGAAGAGGAGTGAGGTGGCAATGCCCCCTGTGAGGCGGCCAATCAACAGCATGCCAAGGGACCTTGTTTCACGGGAATGGCAATTCAGGATTTAGGCTGTAGGGTTTATGATGCAATATGTGTTCGGGCTATTTGGGCTTTTTGGTATTTGCGGACTGTGCTTCAGGTGGGAATGAGCCAAACGGCACGCCGATTAGGGAAATCCTTGCATACGACGGTGCGTGTGAAACTGACACGCCTCCTAGATCCCGCACGCATGCATTCGTTTCATGCAGCAGTCGGTAGGCATACTTGGACAGAATAGCATTTCCTTTATGAGTGCTTATGAGAGATTCTGGGACATTGCTTAGTTATAAGTTGCGCTTTCCCTACAGCATCTAATGCCATAAGTGTGTCTTTCTCAAACACATGGCCCTGCGATACCTCAAATTTGGCAAGGCTTCGCTCGCCCCTACAAATGATGCTTAACGCAGGGCTTTGGAACACTTAGGGGTCCCTTCAAAAGGGCTTTTATGGCAGCATTCTCGGGATCTCGAAGGATTAGGAATAGGATTTTCCAGTCCCTTTTTGAAGGTCTCTGTAACATTGCTTCTAAAAATTGGGTGTATTTGATGATAATTTTCGGAAATGCTCCAATTTGGGGCGACCAACTGCTGGAGATTCCTTCCGGGAACCCCACACCACAGGTCCAGAGTCCACACGGTGGGTCTACATGAGGGGGTGTTCTAGTGGTTGGACGGAGTAAGATCATACCGTTCTTCTAAGAGTATACCCAGAAGAAGGATATAGTCCCACTCCCTAGTGAGACCTATGGTATCCCCACATAAAATACTACACACCTGCCTTCGACATTCAAGCCCATGCTTACTGATGCTTAAGGCTGAGTGGGGGATCTTAATATAATCTATATAGAATGGTCATATATACCCTTAAAAAAGTCCTTACGTTCACTCCCCCTTTAGCACCAGTATGCATCCGGCGGCGTGATGGAAACATGGCCTGCATCTGCAGATACTCTTGGCGGCTGTCGAAGTAAGGGTTTGGAGGGGATGCTTTAAGGCTTAAGATTCTTACTGGCGCGGTTCAGGGTTTGGGGTTAGTAGGGCGTAGTAGGACGCATGTATATACAGCCATATACATATGCATACATTTGATTTGATCGGAGGATGCAGTGGGACAGCTTTGGCGCTGCGAGGGTCCCATGAAAGCCAACAAGTCCAGTGGAGAAGTATTAAATATTGCACCACTTAAGATCCAAAGGTTCCTAGGGTTTGGCGCTTAGCATGAAGGTATGGAAGCTGGTGCAAGATTAACCTGGGTTGCTGTTAAGAAACTTATATTCAGTCGCCATACTGGGTGTATATAGAAAGTAATACTGTTTTCCCGATATAGTAGTCTGAATTAAGTTCTTTAACAACAATCCAGTAACTGCATCCAACCCCGAAATCTTAAACTCCCATCGAAGCCCCACCTGACTGCCCAAGCCCTAGCACACATGTTGCTTGCAGACTCCTGCATGGGAGTTTCCTAAAGCCAAAGGTCCCCCTGGTTTGCGGCGAAATGATTATCCCACACATCACCCCCACCCTTCCCAGATGCTTGCCGCCATTTATGACCTCATCAGTTTCTGAAGAACTGCAGTAAAGTAGACCAAGGAACTTGAAATGCTTGGTGAGGCAGGACCTGGGAAAGAATCAAGATATACAACTTTATGCTGAGGCAGGCAGGTGTTCAGCCTTGTTCTGATGAAGCTGGTCGGCGGCCAGCCGGAAAGAGTTGCCAGGACCGAGGAAAAGCAAAATTGGGAGTATCGGACGTGATTAAAAGGCAGCCTGTTCACGATGCTATGTAAACCGTTTCAGATGAGAACGCACTCCTGCACAGGAGGTCTTGAACCCCATGCCTTGAGTACTGCCCCCACCCAGTAACAGTCTTTAAAGGGCCAAAATCAGAGCTTCACATACTTGCATGTGAGTTATCATCCTAGCGCTGCATCATCCTGTAATACTGGAAATTGTCCGGCTGAGTCGACCGTAAAAAAGAACTTACCATGAAGGGTTCAAGCCGAAGTCTCACTGTTATGCGCAGTACCCAACCCATGCCAATATGGGGGTTTCCCAAAATTAGGGGTACCATTTGGGGGTCCCTATACTAGGGACTGTAGTATTTTGGGGTCTATATCAGGGTCCCCTTATTTAGGGAAACTACCATATTCAGGTGTTCAGCACTCCTATCGCTAGGCAGGCAGGCAGGCAGACACGGATCCAACTGTTGCAGGTCAGCTAACCGTCTGACAAAGGCTAAACGACTCACTGCAAGCAGGCCAACGCCAAAAGGGAAGGCTGAACGTCCACATTACTGACACAAAAATGAACCCAATTCATAGGTGGTTGTCAAAATTATGGTCCCTTTCTCGGTACCTAAAGACTAGGTGCCGTATTATAAAAGGGATCCAAAAAGGACCATAATTTTGACAACCACCCTCATAGGGACTGTTGTTGATGAGTCTTCTAGGCGGGGAGGGGCTTACATTTTGAGACATTACCCTGAACAGGTCTCCCGAATTGCCGGGTAGCTACGAACACGCCGCTTGGAAGTTCAGGGTAATTTGAGCTAAATTACAATGGGTGCTCGAAACCCAATTAAGACCACATTAGGGATTCACAAGGCGGTTTAAGGTCATACTGGTCTTCTACTCCAAATCTAACTAGGTTCTACCAAGAACCTCCAAGAAGGTATTTCGCGGAGCCTCCTCCAAGCATCTCACTCTACAAAAAATATTTACAAGAATCACAGCCCTTGAAAGGTTGGCAAGCAAGGTATGAGCATGTTACCATTTACTTGCCGTTGTGTTGTCGCTCTGTAGGTTGAGTGATTGTCACTTATTTGGTACTTTCCATATAAGTTGACCCCAACACAGATCCCCAAGCACTATAATCCTTATTATGGGACCCCCAAAGGCTACCCCTAAATTTTGTGAAGCCCTCATGTCTGAAGTTCTGTCATGTCGTTGTCCATTTCTTACGTCTGCGTCTCTTGGTGTAAGGGCATTTACTTCATCCTTTGAGGGCAATTTGGGTCTCACGTGGCAAATTCCTTCAACAATGGTCCCCTATTGCGCTCCGGCTGTCAGGAAATCGAATCATGCCACTGTTGTAACAAGAACCATTTCCAAGGGAGTTGACAGCGGATTGCTGTTTATACATGTTCAAAAGCAATCTGCTGAAAGTTTCGGCTGCGCTGTAGCAGCTACACCTTGCACTGAAACTTACGTGTGGTTCTAAAAAAACCGTGCTACGGCATCTAGCCTTTAGGGGTTCAAGACTTGGGTCCTTCTTCTGGAAACGACTCTGCAAGGTTTTGTTTCGGTAGGAAGCGAATCTTGAGGACCTGGGGCCGCGGCAACATGTACAGCACACAGTAGAGAGCCTGAGCCAAGGTAAGATTTCTGTAGCAAAACCCCCAAATTAAAAAACCCCATGACTACACAATGGTCAAGTACAGTTATAATTACCCTGAACCTCCAAGTATTTCCCCAGGGCCCCCAGCTAGGCCAAATCCTCCAAGAAACCCCTGGGTTCTCCGGCAACTCCCTGGCCCCCATGGTAATATCTGCCCAAACACACATCGTACCCCACACAGCCGTTTACTTGAAATCACAAGAGTCGACAACGGACCCCTTTTCCGCTTGCATGTTAGGTTAGGGGAGGCTACAGTCGTATGC